AGTGGTATTTTTGTAAATGGACACCCTTAAGTGGCATTTTTGCAAATGTGCACACAAAAAGTGGCATTCTTGTAATTGTCCCTAAAATAAAATAGTGTTTACCCGCGTATTAAGGCGGATCCTAATCTAGTTAATAAATACACAAAGTCAATACATTTTTATATATTTAGAGAATAGACTTGAAAGCCAATAAAATCTATTAAAAGATAAAAGTTTAACAAAAACAAGATAATAAAAAGAAAATAATAAAACACCTATAAATTATTGTTTATGTTGTGATACATTTGATGACATTGTTCACATAGGGACACCAAGATCACAATCGTTTCTTAAGACTCTTACCGAAGAATGACCCATCGACGACAATCTGACAACCAACCATGTTATGTTTTGTTTCGCAAGCTTTTATTTCATGCATACAAAATTTAACGATTAATTATGAAGAAGGATCAACAAGTCTTCATTCCAAAAGAAGGGACTTATCAGTAAAAAATCGAGCCCGGACCTTTTTTTCTAACATCGCTAAGGCCTCGGAAGATTTGATGCAAATGGGGGTTTTGTATTGAGTTGAAGAAGCACCTTGAGTGATGAAAAACTCCATGAGAGCATCGAAAGTTCCTTGTTGCACCACCCTTATCTCAAGAGCTCCAATTGATCCGTCTTTACCCCTGAATTCTCTATAAAAGTTGTTCAATGATTCCTCCACCACATAGCAACAATCTACTAAAACCTTATTATCAATTTCAGCTACATCATTGTTGTATTTTGCTTTGGGCTCCCAGTAAAGAACATAATGACCTCGAACAATCGAGATATCGGCATAGCTTGTGAAGTCCATCAACATCAAATTTGATGATTCAAGAATCATCTTTGCACGTCCCACCGCATTTAAAAGTTCTTCATCCGTAGTTATCTCCAAGTGAACACTTAGAGCCAGATTGTCTCTACGCACAAATCTAAACTGAGGTGCACTATTGTAAAATCCAGTCACCTTTAAAATATCACTCATCTTATATCTGTGTAAGCCTAACAAAAAAAAAAACAATCGATTAATCGAGAATATATATACATATTTTCCTAACAAGTAAAGGTTTAACTCACCAGAATGATTTGTGACCAAGGGCTCGTAATAGCACCCTAACTTGACATCCACAAGATCAACAATTTCGATTTTTTTGCCCCCATCAACAAGTAGGAACTCGAAATATGACAAATTCGGCATAAATGTGTAGGATATATCTTCTAGTTTGCATAGAGGATTCATGTTAATCCCAAACATTGTTTCAGAAGAAACGTAACTCGATGAAATCAAAGGCAGCTTGTTGGAGTAAAACTCCAATGTTGGGATGTGTTGAGCCATTTGACCAGTTGCAATGCTTTCAATGAATTTGGTTTTAGGCCAAAGTCTTGGGATTATACCTTCCCATGATTTTTGGTTGCATTCGTTTTCGATGAGATCTGCCAATTCGGGATTAGCTGCTCCAAGGATTTTTGAAACAGAATCCCTACAGCTAATATCAGCGATCCACATGCTAAGAGAACCTGAACGGATATTAGTGCAAATTTCCTTCCAAAACTTTTCAAGAAAAATGATTGCTCGGACCAGGATAGAAACAAAGGCGGCACCAACCTTCACTACCTCGTCTCTTTGAACAATACCACACAGAAGGTGACAGTATAAACTCTGTTTGTTGTCTGAACATAATATAACTTCATCAGGACTTGTGTATGACCAATGCCAATACGATGGTCGGTTCTTGAAATAATCACTCTTGAAGAAGCTCGTCGTAGCAGCTGAGGCGGGCAAACCAGAAGAAATTGTGTTCTCTGGTGTACAAAAGTTAAACTCCATTCCCTTTCCATGCTCGAGGCCATCAATATGTCTAGAAACCAAAAGAAACTTCCATCAATAATTTACAAATACAAACATGTTTTACTAAACCAAGAAAAGCTTTTTCATCATTACTTGCTTATAACGAGCGAGCGATAATAGTAGATGAATTCAAGTTTTCCAAATACTTGTTGTTACAAGGAAACATCTTCCGTTTTCCTCCCGAGGTTCCGGAACTACAATAAAAGAAAACCATTAGAACAATAATGCTAGAGTCTCTCCTCGAAAAATCACATTGATCAAATAATAACTAATGATTAAGTTCTTGCTTTCTATGATTTGTAAGGTAAAAGCCAAGTAACGTATAGTATAATATACCTTAGAAGAAATCTGGTAATGGGTTTTCCAGAAATAACATCAAAGGGCTCTCCATTCGCGACACGCTGGATAAAAGGCCTAACATCCTCGTAGGTCGACATGGGAACGTTCTTCTTAAAGAGCTCTTTGTCAGAACTCCCATGGAGAAAACGTCGAAGATACTCGGTGTTAGCGTTAAGTGTGAGTATCTCCTCCAATACATTGTCTTGTATTTGCTTCACATTGGACGTCAAGTCCTCCAAAACCTTCTCCTCTTCTATTATGTCGCTGCGATCAGAGCACAAACTCATATTTGGTTGTCTTTTAGTTTACCTGAAAGTCAAGAAAGTGCACAATTGGATAGCAATAGAATTAAA